GAGCAAGGTTTTTCGCAACATGGAAATGAAAGTAGCGGAAGTGACTTTATCTTGTAGTGTTTTCAGCATTTGAGCAAGGTTTTTCGCAACGTTTCGGAAGTAGCCGGGATCGTAATGATCTGTGGGTTATAGACATTCTTGCCAGGTGTAAAAAATGGGCAAGCTTATGTCTGTCAAACGAGCAACTCAGAGAGTTGCGGGAAACCACATCAACTTGCGGAATGTCATAAAATCCTCGCCTCCAGCACCATATCAACAACGTTGCTTAAAGCGACGTCTGACTACATTGGGGCAATTTGAACAAAAAGTGTTGAACTAGAGGTTGCTGAAATGTGTATCTTCCGTCGGGGTTCACCGCCGCAGAGTCATGGAAATCCTCAAAAGAGTAAGGTTAGAAGTCCCCAACTATCACTGCTAAAATCCCTCATAGATATCGTAAACGCGCATGCTGTGTTGTTTTCGATGAGGCAGGTGAGTCAGTGATATAGACGCTCACTTTCGGAGCCCTGAATTCAGGTGATTCGGTACTGCTCGTAAATTCACGGCGACATGGAGCGATGACGCATACAATTCCGAGTGGGAAGGTAGGAGGCTTTGATCACTCACTGGAGGCCGCAGCCGTCCGAGAGACTTTTGAAGAAGTGGGTATGGCCACACTGCGTCGTCCTCGATTCTCGAATGAGCTCAGGCTGGTGTGGTATGTGATGTCTTGGGCGACTTGGGGTGGATCAAATCCCATGATAAACGCGGACGTCCGAAGGCGACTCGTGTGTTCTACGGTCGCCTGTGATGAAGTCCTCGACAACTGGCGTGAGGTGGGCTTATCCCTTCCATCTCTCCTTTCTCATAATTATACACTTAACATCTCGTGAATATGGGTTAGACTAAAAATAAAGAAAACCATCCGTGTTGGCCACTTCTGTGCTAAAATCGTTCCTTTTATGGAAAATTTGACCCAGTTGATTGAGCTTGCAACACTCGCAAACCACTTCTGAACCAAATGAGATAGCGCTCGCCTTAGAACAAAAATAGCAAATAGTTGATCGAATAGCTCTCCGTCACGGTCGAAAACAGAGCAGAGCTCCTGACTCAAGGAAGTACTATTCCTGATGACATTGTGGATATGTGGATGGCTATGCTCTGTCGGCAGGGTGGGGTTACAGCTGCTCGAGGCGTATTGGTAGGAACAACTCACTTCGGCTTCTCGCGGGTCATTGATAGCATCCTGAAAGGCCGTGAGCTCTATCTCCAACCCGTTCTGGATCCGACATGTGGGAACTATGCCGCATCTGCCGTTGTGGTTGGTCAGGTGAATTTCATGGACAGTATGAATACGTCGGTCCCGTCTTCGGGTTTTTTTGTACAAGTCCTACGCCAGCTGTATGGTTCAAAACGTGTACTTAATGTTTCGGTCCAACAGCAGAGTTACGGGAGTAATTTATGCGGAGTTTTTGTTTTCGCTAGACTTACTGTGGTTGTTTTTAAGCGCCAGTGGTTTCATCTTCCCGTGTTCGATGAAGCTAGTATGAGTCTCATACTATGAGATACCATTCGGTTGCATGCATTACTAGGAAAGAAAATAGCAGGTTTCCGGAAATCTTTCCCGCGCCAGCTAGCATGTTATCCTCACCTGAAGGGAAATTCAATACCTGAGTTTAAAGTTTTTTATGAGAGTTCTAAGAGTGTAGTTGTCAATTAAATATTCCACAGATAATTACTTAATATCGGACGACGATGATAAGCGTTCATTGATCACCCAAGTTGGGTGACCCAACTAGCTATGTCTGCGGTGCAGACTCTGCACCCTTATCAGAACTCTTGCCGCTATGTATCAAAACCACAGTTACTAGTGAACATAATGCCTAATCTATTGATGATTTCCGAAACCATACCTTTGACTACGTTACTTAACATACGAAGTATAACCACTAGCGGCTAGTAAACCTCAACACAGTGTACTAACTTAAGCTGTAGCCTAAGTCCTAGGCCAGTAAGAATGAGAAGCTTAGCTCACTCCTGTCCTCAGTCTAACCTTTAAGAGCACTAGGCAAGTGCCCGAGCAAGGCCTCAGCACCAGGGTGGTCGGTTTCCGGGGTTTATAGAATAACTCCCCCCTGGGGGTTATTCGTAAGCCCCGAGGTGATATAGTGGGGGTTTATAAGATGGGAGTT